TGTGAAGTGTGCTGACAAAATGAGTTACTTCTCGGATCCAAGCCTTATGGAAATAGATACATCACGCTATTAGGTGAAGTTTTTACAATTTATAAGTATGGAATAATAAAAGGCACGTTATGCAAAAAGAATGTGGCATCAATAGAAAATCTACTATATAGGGAAACTTTTCTTTGTCAAGATGGCGAATCTGTCAGTTGAGCTTTTTCAATGGTTGGATGGTAGGCCTATAATGTTAATCATGTAAGCTTTGCACTGATTGGACCAAATAATTTCCATTCAAATGTACCGGCGTCTGAGGTGGAATGTTGAATTTTTTCACCTCTTTTACTCAAATGAAATGAGTTTGATTCCTTTGTGAGAATGTCTTTTATATCTCGCACCGTCTGAGGCATATTCAAAACAGCCTGCCTTGTGTGTTGAGATGGGTACTCTAATAATGACCTTATTAAGTTGTGAATGCCGTAAAACTATTACTAAACTAACTATGTTTCTAACAGACAAACATAAAAATGAACAAACAAACAGTGGGTGGTTGGTGGGTGCTCTGGTGTGGTTTGACTCTTCTTTCCTGTCAAACATCAAATGTCCTAATCTCTCCTCCTTGTTTTTTGTGTATGTTACTCTCTAGTAACACATCTATTCCTCGGCACTTATATGACCTTATTGTGTTGCAAGTGCCATAAAACTCTTACTAAAACTAAAAACTGTTTTGTGTTTGTTACTCTCTTGTAACACGTTTAATGTGTGGCGCTTACTTGTATGAGCTAATTGTGTTGCAAGTGCCATAAAACTCTTACTAAAACTAAACACTGTTTTGTGTTTGTTACTCTCTTGTAACACGTTTAATGTGTGGCGCTTACTTGTATGAGCTAATTGTGTTGCAAGTGCCATAAAACGCCAACTAAAACAAATCAATAAACAAACAAACAAACAAACCACCATCTGGGGCGGTGCCACTGACTGAAGTGTCTTTAGGCCATTCCCAAAGGGGGGACATTAATCATGTTCTTATGCACAGTAGAATTGTAATTATAAATGGGCTTATTCATCAATGTCATGATCATAACTGTGCCTGAACTGATTCCTCTACTTCTTTTGTATGTTTGTCACTCTCTTGTGAACTGCTATTTCCAGGGTGCCTTGATAGTCGAAGCAGACTTTGTGTTGTTGAAGCCAGAGAGGTGAGCAGAGTAAGCCAGATTCCCTGTAAAGACTTCTCTGTTGACACCCACCCCTGGCGCTCATATGACCTTTTGTAGTTGCGAGCACCGTAAAACCCTCTACTATAAAAATAAAAAAAACCTCTACTAAAACCAAACAAACAAACAAAACTGACCGATCGTTATTGTACATATGTGTGTGTCTGTTCAAGGTGTATCCTGGCCACTGACATGGCCAAGCATAACGAGATCCTCAACTCCTTCAAGACCATCATTCCCTACTTTGACTTCAACGACAAGGAACACAAGTCGGTGGTGAGTGAAGATGCCGGTTTTTGTTTTTGGGGGTAGATTCATTGCTGCTGTTACTGCTCTTGTGAGTGAGTATGTGTGTGTTGAGGGGGGGGGGATGCCTTTGTGTGTGAGTACGTGTGGGAAGGGGGATGCCTGTATGTGTGTGTGTGTGTGTGGTGGGGAGGGTGAGGGTGAAGAGAGATGCCTGTGTGTGTGTATGTGTGAGTATTTGTGTGTGTGTGAGTACGTGTTAGGGGGATGCCTGTGTGTGTGTGTGTGGGAGGGGGGGGCAGGGAGGGGGGAGGGAGAGAAGCCTGTATATGTGTGTTTTTTTTGTTTGTATATGTGTGTGCGTGTGTGTATGTGTGTGCGTGTGTGTGTGTTTATTATGTGTATGTGTATGTGTATGAGAGTATTTGAGTCTATGCATACAATTCATTTCCATGTACGTGTTTAAGTTTGTGTGGCCAGTGTCCATCTTTAGCCTACCAGAACCCAGATTGGGTTGAAATGGACTCATAATGTAAACATAAAAATTATGAATTAATTATGTATTAACAAATTGTAATCATTTAATTAATTAATTAATTAATCATGCCTTGTCGTCTGCCCCAGCTGATGATGGTTCTGATGAAAGTCTCGGACATCTCTAACGAAGCGCGACCACTGTCAGTGGCCATGCCCTGGCTGGATTGCTTACTAACCGAGTTTTTTAACCAGGTTTGAACGCTACCCCTCTATTCCACATGGCCTTGGTGTCTTCATCCTGCGGACCGCTGTGCATGTGTGTGTGCGTGTGTGTGGGTGTTTGTGTGTATTGTATGTTTGTATGTATGTATGTATGTGTGTATGTATGTGCTTGCTGGCATGCCATGCCTCATTTGCAGGATCTTGTGGAGATTTTTTTTTTGTTCCCTTTGTGCTTTTGACGTGGATGGACATTTAGAAATTATGTTTTATTGTATGTGTGCTCTAATTTTGTGATTTGTTTTTGGCTTTAATTAATTAATTATTTTATTTATTTATTTATTTATTTATTTATTTATTTATTTATTTATTTATTTATTATTAATTAATTAATTAATTAATTAATTAATTTATTAATTTATTAATTTATTCATTTATTAATTTATTCATTTATTCATTTATTTATTTATTCATTTATTTTTTATTCATTTATTTTATTTATCTATCTATTTTTTCATGTATTTTATTTATTTATTTTATTTATATTTTTGTGAGCGGGGAGGAGGTGCCTTTTTTATGTCCACCCCTGCAGCTTGTGCTTGGCAATTCTGTCGACTTTGTTTGGCGCTTACAGATTTGTTTTTTACAGAGGTTTTTGGGCTCAGTTTGCTTTTTAGAAATATAGTTTTAAAGGTTTTTATTCTTTCTGCGTCTCCAGAGTAACACCTTGGGTGTTAATGATGGTTGTGGGGGAAGAGAATACATCTGTGAATCATTTATTGTTTACACCTCCGCTCTCTTGACAACTGTCTTCTTCAAAAATATCTACTGTAGATGTCAGGGTCTTTTTGCGTTGAATGGTCGTATAGTTAAGGGAAGAAAGACAGCATGTATAGACAGAAACAACTACGGGAAAGAAAAAAAAAAAAAAAAAAAAAAAAAAATTAAAGTAGGATCTCGATCCCAGTGACATCCTCCAGGCACCCACACAGATAGAAACCAAAGAGGGAAAGTAAAGAAGTAAGGCCAACCAATGACACCCTCCTCCAACTACTTGGGTGTGGTCTATGACAATTTCTCTCTCTCTCTCAGTATGGACAGAAAGTCCTCCACAGAATGATTTATTAAGTTGTTTTTCAGAATTTGAAGTATTATATAATTATTGGTCTGTTTATGTGGTTTTTGCCTGTGGACTTTTGCTTTGATGTGTGCTTGCACAAATTTTTTTTTTTGTGTGTGTGTGTGTGTTTGCTATGACATTTTGCTCTACCTTAGAATTATAAAAGTGCTATCTGACATTTTTTGGCCGTTTTGAATTACTAAGAAGACCAAGATACCGGAAACCAAATGTTCTGTCTGCTCTATCAAAATAGTAAGATTGCTCGGAGTCGTTATCATGATGTTCAAAGAATTGCATTCGCAAAAGCTTGACATGTTGCAAAACTCAAAATTTTTATGTTGTTGTTGTTGTTGTTGTTGTTGTTGTTATCGATCCAGCAACAGCTGGGCTCTCGCCCTTCTGTCCAATGCCATGTAGTGATAAGTGCAGGTCTGCTGCAGTTGCTGTAATGTTCTGTAGAGTGTGTTGTCAATGTTAGGTCTCGGAGGGAGAAGGGTAGCTCTGATGTTATTTAGGGTTGTGCAGTGGAACAGGTGATGCTCTACAGTCTCATATGCATAGTCACACAAGGGACACATTGGGGGAAGTTCCGGGTTTATTCTGTTCAGGGGGAAGTTGAGCTGTATATGTTCTGTTCGTAGACGGAAGATCGTGGTCTGTTTTTTTTCTCTGAAGGCGGTAAATTTTTATGTAAAATTTCTCAAAACTAGGTACTGAGCAGATAAAACTTTTGTAATTCCTGGGTAGTGATTTGTTTGTTGGTCTACCTCCTGAGACGTATGTGAAGTCTACAATGAAAAAAAAAATGAGAAAAGTCACACACTGCGAATTAGTGAGTTGTCACCTTTAACGCGCTCACTTTTCGCCCTTCGTTGACTCTCAAGAACTCTCAAACAGAGAGCTCATTTCTAGAATAGCGACCATTTCTTAAACATGATACTGGTACAATAACACAATTAAAGTTCAAAGATGGTGCTTATGATCTCATGCAGTTGCGAGCGCCGTAAAAAAAACTTCTACTAAAACAAACAAAAGTTCAGAGAGTTTGAAACTTAAACTTAATAATATTTTTATTTTCTCTGGACGTAAACTTGTGATTTTTACCATATTTTTTCTATAGTGGCTTCACATGTCTTCAAGTTGTGTATTTTCCTGTTGTTTCTATTGTTTGTGTTATTATGTTCTGCTATGCCTGCTTTATCACGTGATGGGTTTTCCTTATTTCTGAGCTTGCCGCCGCAACATGCCCATCTGTTCAGTTATGCAGAGCGTTTTGGTTTTTTTGTTTTGCTTCCAGCAGCCCTGCAGTCAAGGCCGTATTATATTTTGTTCTTTCTTTGCTTCTCCCTGCGAGAGTCCGAGCTGAGCTTTGGAGCTTTTGCCCCATGATGTCGTTCCTTCGTGTTGTTGTTTCTTCGTGTTGTCGTTTCTTCGTGTTGTGTCTTTGATCAACTCCCTCAAAAAAGTGAAGGACCATTATATTTTTCCCCGCTTCTCGCTTCTTGAAAAAAAAAGAAAGAAAAGCTGACTCTATCTCTATGTTTAATGCAATAGAATCAATCTGAATTTTTGGGAAAAATTTCAGACCCCCCCTTCCCCCCCCCCCCCCCCAAAGAAAAAAAAAGAACACATCAAAGGGAAAAAAAAGAACACACCAAAAAAAATTAAATTGAGATGCTTTCTGTTTTTGGCACAATTTAAAGATGAAAGGCCAAAGCATTGCCTGGACACGGCCTGAACTCTTTGGAGGAGATTGATGAAATGACTGATGTCTTTTGGTTACTTTTCACATCTTTGTCTCCAGGGGATGCAGGTATCACAGGTTCTTCTTTTGGTTTCTGTAGCAGTTTTGTCTGCTAATCTTGAGTCAGGGTATATATATATATATATATATATATATATATATATATATATATATATATATATATATATATAAAAATATATATATATATATATA